AAAAAAGAAAATACCCAACATAAAACAGGGCCGACAGTGGCTCAAGCGGTAGGCCTACCTAGCAAGCATGTGGCCCTGAGTTCAAACCCCTGTACCACCAAAAAAAAGCCCTATTATAACTCACTAATAAAAAGACAAATTAAAAATTGGCAAAAGGAGATATACAAATGACCATGAAAAGATGCTCAACGTCACTAGCCACCAAAGAAATGAAAATCAAAACCACAATTTCACACACACTAGGATGGCTATAATCAACAAGATGAACAATAACAAGTGTTGATAAGGATGTGCAAAATTGGAATACTCATGTATTTGATGGTATAAATGCAGAATGTTGCAGCTGCTTTGGAAGAGTTGGCAGATCTACAAAGTGTTCAATATAGAGTTACTATATGACTTAGTAATTCCACTTCTCAGTGGAAATTAGAAGACTGAAAGTGTATAGTCATACAAAAACTGATCTGATTATGTTTATAGTAATATTGTTCATAGTATCCAAAAAGTGAAAGCAATCTAAATCTCTATCATCAACTAATAATTGCATAAATATAAAATATGAACTATCCATACAGTGGAATATTGCTCAATCATATAAAGAAATTTTAATAGTCATCTTTTTGTTACTATAATGAAATACCTAAGGCTGGGTAACTATTTTTTTTTGCAGTACTGAAGTTTGAACTCAGAGCCTAGTGCTTGCTAAACAGATGCTCTGCCATGTGAGCCATGCTCCCAATTTGAGGCTGGGTAACTTTATAAAAGATTTATTTAACTCTGTTCTGGAGGCTATAAGTCCAAGCAGGTCTAGTGAAGGCCTCCATGCTGACAGAGTCCTGAGGTGGTACAGAGCATTTCATGGCAAGAGACAGGGAACATGCATGTGTCTACATCTACATCCTCTGCTTTCTCTTTCTCCCTCTCCCTCCCTCCCTCCTACCCCCACAAGTACATATACATATAGCCACAAGTATTCAATTGTGGGTACTCTGTCTTGATGGCCCTACCTAATCCTAATTACTAACCAAAGAAAATATTTCTAAATACCATAGTTAGATTAAGTTTCCACCTTCTTAATATCATACAGTGGGAATTAAGTTTTAACACATGAACCCTTAGGGGATTTACTCAGCACCAGTGAAATACTGATACATGCTACAATGTGAATTAACCTTGGAAATATTATACTAAGTCAAAGAAACCAGTCACAGAAGCCAAATTTATAATCTCAGCTATTTCAAAAAGATGAAACAGGAGGATCACTTGAGCCCACAAGTGATCAAGGCCAAGTTCAAGGCCAATATAGTGAGATCCCATTTCAGAAACAGCAACCCCCCCTCAAAAAAAAGACCACATATTTTATCATTCTATTTATATGAAATGCCTAGGATAGGTTTGCCTATTGTAGATATATAGAGACAGAAACTATATTAGTGGTTGCCTAGAGGTGGTCAGGTTTATATAACTCTCGAAATATACTAAAGCTGGTGAATTACACACTTTAAAACAGGTGAATTTATGGCATTTGTTTCTCAATAAATATATTTTAAAATGTGTCATCTGGAAGGAGTATATATGCACTGAAAAGGAGTCATGTTTTCTGGTCTCTATTCTTGCTCATCATTGTGCCTTAAACATCATAGGAAATGTGTGGAATAGATGCATAAAAATGAGATATCCTAATTTAAATATAGCATTCTCTCTGTCTTGGTTATTGAAGTACTAAATTGATAGTGGTTAAATATATAAACTTCTCAGAAAGCACTTTGAAGGAGCAGAAGCATGGTGTACGTGTATTTTTGTCAGAAAATGTGAATACTTAAAAGAGAAAATAACTTAAAATGTACCTATAAAGTAACAGTGGAGAAACTCAACAAAAATAGGAAAGAAAATGAGAATATACCATGTAATTGGAGAAGAATTTCTAGGATATAAAACCCCTAATTAATCTTTACTAAATGAGTGAATGTAGATCTGGTATGAGAATCAATTCTAGAGGGAAGAGCCAGACATACTAGAGAAGAATAAACCAGTAAGTAGACTTCACTGATTTTTCTCTCATTTACATAATAGTTCTTTTTTGATTGCTACTTATGTGAAAGTTTTGTTGCCCCATATTCACATAGCACAGTTAATGAAGCTCTCTTAGGTCAAGGAGGTTATATTTTTATATTTTAGTAGGGTAATTACAGTGCACACCCATCTACATTCACACACATCAGGTAGACTGTGATACATGTTATAAAAGAGTACTGACAAGTGTTATAAGAATTCAGAAGTAGAATTTGATCTGGATTTATACACGCAGTGTTAGGGAGGAGAAGGCCATTCTGATCAAAAATAGCATCATGAGAAAATGGGGCAGTTTGGCTGGTGTTTCTGAAGAGAGATAAAATTAGGTCCCAAATTATGTCACTTACTAGCTATCTTGAGAAGATTACTTAACCTCTGCCTGAACATCCTTTTCAATTGAGATAATAATACCACTTACCTCATGGTTATTGGGAGAATTAGACAAGACAATACTTGTTAGTCACTTATCACACATTTACACGTCTGTGTTGTAGGGAGCAACAAATAAAGGTTTTAAATAAGGCATACTATAATCCAGAGTAACACTTTAGGAAGATTGGTTTAGCAGTGGATGATCCAGAGAGGTAATGAGAGCTTGAATTGGAGTACTGATAGTGTATCACTGTATAAAACTCTATGAAATTAGTTTGTTGGTATTAAAGCAAATAGGAAACATAGGAGATGGGACAGGTTTGAAAGTAAAAATGAAGTCAGTTTTATATATTCTACATTTGAGGTAACAGTGGGGCCTCCGGGAAGAAATGTGTAATAGGCAGCTGCACATTTCAGTGCTGGCAGTCAGAGTTTAGGACAATGTGAGAGTTTTTGCTTAGAGGTTGTAGCCAAGAAGTTGTATGGGATTCCCCAAAAGACGGAATAGGCTGGATGTGGTGGCTCAAGCCTATAATCCTGGCTGCTTGGGAGGCAGAGATTGGGAGGATCTCAGGTTGAGGCAAGCCCAGGAAAAAAGTTCATGAGACCCCATCTAAACCAAAAAAATTTGGATGTGGTGGTACATGGCTATCATCTCAGCTACACTGTCTAGGCCAGCCTGGGCATAAAAGCCAGACCCTTTTGAAAACAGTAAGGGCTGGAGGTATGGTTCAAGTGATGGAACGCCTGGTAGCAGGCACAAAGCCCTGAGTTGAAAACCCAAGTACTGTCAAGAAAAAGGAATATATGGTTAGTTAAGGATAGACCCCTTAAAGTCGGAAAAATGAAGATAAGCAAATCCTAAGACTTTAATTGCCTTTCATAAAACTTTGTTATTACTATATTTTATATGTATATAATAAGGGTATATGTAAATAGATATACACATATTATGTGTGTACCTTTCAGTCATTCCTGCCAACTGATTGTTTTACTGTCTTATTCGGTACCAGAGCTAAATAGACATCCATAGTGCCCCTTACACATGTTTAAAGATGGATACATTTGTATTTCTCATAGATCTATTGGGATAGCAAGCAGCTTTATTTCTGAAGACTATACAGGCCATTATAAGAAGCTAAGATTTGAGATGTCTTGCAGATGCTCTCAGAAATTGCAGAGAGATGTGGGCAGTTGTGAGGAACTATGAAGTAGCTAATAAATAACATGCCTGATCCTCTCTCATTGAAAGTTTGAAAGTTGATTTTTATCTTGAAATTTCTTAATTATCCATAGAGGGCAGAATAATTACAAGGACATCAGTGGGCTTCCTGTCCTGCTGCACAATATAAAATAGTCTATAAATTTTCTGGCACCAGTTGTTTAGCTCCTTAAACTGTTAGTGCTTACAGCAGCCAGAAATGAAAGGTGATTTAGGGCAGTCATCCTGGGGTTCTCTGAAGAATAGAGGAAATGCAGGTTTGTGCCTCCCCTATGGGATTTCTTGATCATAATGGGGAAATGAATTGACCTATTCACTTTCTTTGTTTCTGACTAGAGCCTTGTGTTTTAATTAACTTTTACAAGTGAATAATAGGCAATAGCTATAATCCAGTTGGCTGGCAAAGGAATTGTATGGTGTTCTGTTGCAATATAAAAATGTGCGTAAGTCTTTGATACTGGAAGGTTTTGTGACACTTTAAAATTAACGAGCTGACTTTATTCTCTGCATACACCACTAGGATTTTTATGACATTTTTTGTTCTAGTCTTGTTTTGGGGATTTTGCATACATGTTTTTTGTTTGTCTTCTTTACTTTCATTTAGGAAACTTTTAAGTAAGGCTGGTTTCAAATCCATTTTTAGACTTTTTACCAAGGCCAGACTAGTCCTGTTTAATCTGGCACTTGAGACCATTCAACTTTATCTCTCCCTTAACACAAATTGCTGTTTCAGCCAGTTGCATGAGTAAAAAGGTTGAGGCTAGTTGGGGGGAAGTTAAAGCCATTGTACTTGTCTGTTACTATAATGAAATACACGAGGCTAAGTAACTTTATAAAGAAATATGTCTACTTAGTTCACAGTTCTGCAGATTCAAGGGTATATAACCACTATCAGCTTGGTTCTGGTTAAAACCTTATGGGTAGATGAGATCTTGGTGGTAGGTATTTGAGATGAAGAACTCACATTTCCAGATAGGAAGTCAAGAGTGCAGCACAGGAGTCAGACAGGGTTCCAGGGTTCCTCTTTTATAACATCTTGTTCTCATGAGAACCCAGTACCCTCAGTGACCTAACAGCTTCCCACTAGAGCCTACATCTTAAAGGTTCCACACTACATCTTAATATTACCACACTACGGACAGCTTCCAGCACTTAAACACTTGGGGGACAAGCCACATCAAAACCATAACAGATATATACCTAACCTGAAATAATCTGTGTGAGTAACATCTAGAGGCAGTTTTAACATGAAATTTGGTGAGGGACTCCATAGGATAAGAATATACTTAATCTGTATTGTGACAACTAATAATTTAATTTCCTCTTTTTGCAGTAAGTACAAATGGATTGTAGGGGAGGAACCTATGGAGAAACGAAGAAGGCTACGGAATGAGATAACAACATCTCCTCTAGATTATTCTATGCCTGGCTCTTACAGGAAGGCAGAGGCAGCTGTTGCCTACTCAGAAGGGGAGAACAGCCATGATAAATCTAGTTCTGAGAGAAGTACACCACCATACCTTTTCCCAGAATATCCAGAAGCAAGCAAGAATACAGGGCCAAACAGGGAAGTTTCAGTTGTATATCCAGGGCCCCAAGACCAGCGCCAGGGGTCCCTGCTTCCTGAAGAATTAGAAGATCAGATGCCAAGACTGGTAGCAGAAGAATCTAACAGAGGTAGCATGAACATAAACAAAGAGGAATTGAACAAGGGACCTTTTGTAGCTGTTGTTGGTGTTGCAAAAGGAGTTAGAGATTCAGGAGCTCCCATTCAGCTAATCCCTTTTAATAGAGAAGAGTTTGCTGAAAGAAGAAAAGCAGCTGAATCATGGAACCCAGTGCCCTATTCTTCTGTGGCGTCTGCTGCAATCTCTACTGCAGCCACCAGGGAGAAAAAAAGAGGCCACGCAGAGAGTGGAGGTCGTAATATGCCAAAGATTAAGAACCAGAGAGAGCTGGAAGAATTGAAGAGAACCACAGAAAAATTGGAACGTGTTTTGGCTGAAAGGAATTTGTTCCAGCAAAAGGTTTGAGTAACACCTTACTTCTAGGAATAAGAGATCATTGTAACCAAGGGCCTGGGATGTTGGTGCTCTGATCATTTCATACTATGAGGTCTTTAAACAAAATGTGTCCATTGAACCATTCTGTGTTACGTCTTAGATTGAGTGAACCCTAATGGGCTTCCCTCCTGTATTTTAGGACTGAAAAGAGATTTACATTACTAGAGAAATATGTATAATGGAATTACAGGGTAAATATAATAGGGACAATTTTTGGCACTCTCTTTTAGCATTCAGTAGTTTATGGGATCATTGAATTTCTGTTTCTTGGACGGCAGGTGGAGGAACTGGAACAGGAGAGGAATCGCTGGCATTCTGAATTCAAGAAAGTTCAACGTGAATTGATGACCTACAGTACCCAGGAGACAGAAGGCTTGTACTGGAGCAAGAAACACATGGGTTATCGCCAAGCCGAATTCCAGATTCTGAAAGCTGAGCTAGAAAGAACCAAAGAGGAAAAGCAAGAATTAAAAGAGAAACTGAAGGAGACACAGACACATTTGGAAGTACTGCAGAAGGCTCAGGTCTCCTACCGGATCTCAGAGGGAGATGACCTAGAAAGGTTAATTACTAGGGTTTAGTTAACCAGCTTGTGAGTGCTAATGGGAAGCATGCCTTAGGACCCCCAGTTACTGGTCATAGATAAAGAAGGAAGCCTTAATTCATAGGCCGCCAAATATTGAATAATTGCTTCTCAGAAAGCTACAGCCAATCTTCCTATGCTTGGTGGCATTGTGCTTTCTTCTCTTTCTAGCTAATGGAAACATAACTGGAGTAATATAGGTCCATTTTGAGGGGGCTTCATTTTATCCTGTTGGCTAATGACTTCATATCATCTCTTCTCCTACCCCCTCACTCCATCATACAGGGCTTTGGCAAAGCTTACGCGGCTGCGTATCCACGTCAGCTATCTCCTTACTTCTGTCCTCCCTCACTTGGAGCTTCGTGAGATCGGGTATGACTCAGAACAAGTGGATGGTATCCTGTACACGGTGTTGGAGGCAAATCACATACTGGATTGAGCACCACACTATATTATATACTGTCCTCTTTCTCTTTTATGTCTGTGAACTGTATATACTCTTTTCTACCCTTCTCTCCCCTTCTCTTCCCTTCCCTTCCCTTCTCTGCACCTCCTTCCCTTGCCCTCATGTCTGTCTGTCCCTCTTTCTGTCTCTCTCTCTCTCCTCTTTCCCTTTGCCCTCCCTCCCTCATTCTCTCCTCTCCTTCTCTCTGTCTCTGTCTCTCTCACACATTTATGCCTTATATAGAGAGTCTTTGAGTAAGTCCTGGCTCTTAGTCTGCTTCTTACTCAGTTTTTTTGTGGAAAAAGAGGCCAGTTAAAGAGTGCAGGAACAGAAAAGCAATAGTCACCAAGTTAGGTGACCAGAAAGCTTTAATTTTAATGGCCTAGATATTTGGCCTATTTCATATCCTTTCTGAAATGGTTCATACTCATTTAGGTTAAATCGGTCAGCAAATACTGGGTCCAATGTACCTGGTGTTTTGGAATAAGCTAAGATGTATAACTCATGGTTTCAGCCTGCCAAGGTTATAACGATCTAGTTAAAAACACAAGACACACCGAGTTAGCTTACTATATACAGAACTGTATGATATTTAAAAGTGAACGTAGAAACATGATGTAGAAGATCTGGAGGAAGAAGTTTAAAGAAAGGTGTCACACCAGAAATGGGACCTAAACTAAAGCTTAAAGAATGAGTATGATCACACTGTTAATGATTGTTGTTTCTTAGGTGGTAGGACTGTGGTTGGCATACTTTTCTTCTTCCTATCTTCTTGCCTTTTTCAAATTTTCTATAATATACTTGTTATTCTTCTTACATTGGAAAAAATAAATCATTTTTTAAAACAAGTAGGTTTGGATTTGGGTTCAAATGAGAGAGACTGTGTGAAATTATAAAGTAGTATTATATTTATAATTCATGTTAAGGTTAACATTACCTCTGAAAGAATAACATAAAGATACAGAAAAATCCAGAATGTGAAAAAGGTGTTTGGTAGGTTAAGTCATGACGTACCTACCAACCCACCCAGCCCCTAAGGTATCTTCATTTTTAAATATGTGTCACTACATTGTGGAATTACAGGTAGTGGGGAAAGTATTTCAGAATATATTACCTACTCTTTAGGCTATTATGAGGGAGGGGTAGACCTCAGAGTATCCAAAGTAGTAAAACTTATACTCTAGTAAATGGAGATGATTTATTAATTCATTGCTTTATTATATTTATATAGCACATACTCTCCAAAGAGTTCAAACTACTCCTCAAGGGACACTGAACAATGAACACATAAGATATATATCTACAGTGAAAAATAGGAAGTAGAAGATAAAAATTACAGGAAGGTAGGACCAAGCAGTGGCAAAAGGATTAGTGAGTCCAGAGGAAAATCTTGGGATAGTCAATCTGTTTTCCTCTGCATATTTACTTCACAAGGCTTTCCCAAGCATGTTTTATCTCCTTTGAAAGAAACCTCCTCATAGATATTCCAGTGAGATTGCAGGGAACAGAGGAGGGCAGATATCCCCTGACCCCCCCTACACTCCACCTCACCTCAGCTCCAGCTCATGCATGATTAATTTTCATGTTAGACATTTGGATCCAGATATTCAGTGCCTCAGTTGTCTACATGGATATATTACTGAAGAAAGGGGAACACATTCAGCTGTTTTCTCATCTGAGGGTTTGGAGGGGATTCAGCTTGTGTGAGTGAGCATTGGATGATTGAGGGGGCAGGCAGTGGGGCTTTAAAAGGGAAAAATGGAAATTTTTAACTCATATTTACTAGTTTTTACTCTAAGCCCACTCCCTTGACGTATGTCCTGTCAGCCTAAGTTTTTGATCCCACACTGCATTTTCTAGCAACAGTTATCTGTGAGTCTATTCACGTTAGTACCAGAGCTACCACTTTATTACTTATTTACTATGAAATCATTCCAGCATGAGGTCCCTTTAACTTGTGCTAAATACCACCATGGAGAGATTGAAAAGTGTCTCCTGGCCTTACCAAGGGTCCTTACATAGGATAGACACAAAGGCATTGAGAAGAAAAAGTAGGTCCCCCTCCCCCCCGGCTTTCCAGTTAAATTAATGTAATCATAATTCTCCTTACAGATGTCTCTCTCACAGTTGCCTTTTAACTCCATGATCAGGATTTATGTCCTTATTACCTCATGCCTTAGTAATGAAAAAAAGTTTTTGACAATACTAGGATTTGAATTCAGGGTCTCAGGCTTGCTAGGCAAATGTTCTACCATTTGAGCCACACTCTCAGCCCTTTTTTTGCTTTAGTTTTTTTCTAGGTAGGGTCTCACACTTTTTGCCTGGGCTGACATTACAGCATGATCCTCCTACATATACTTCCTATGTGTCTGGGATTATAGGCCTGAGCCACCATGCCTGGGTTGTTTGTTGAGATGGGGTCTTGCTAACTTTTTGCCTATTGCTAGTCCTGATTTGCAGTCCTCCCAATATCTGCCTCCCAAGTAGTTGGGATTACAGGTATAAACTACCATGCCCAGCCCTGAAATAGATTCTTAACTGGCCTTCCTTGACTCTCATTCTGACGCCTAAGTCGACCCTATTTAATGTCACTAAATCACTATTAACAACTTTTATCAGATCATGTCTCTGCTTTAAGGCTTGTTAGTGCTTACAACTGCCAACCAAATGCAATACAAATTCCTTAGCATGGTGCTCAAAGCCCTTTGTGGTTTGACTTCAACTACCCTATGTAGACTCGTCTTCCAATGTACCAAATACAAACTGTATCCCATCCAAATTGAATTCTTTTTCAGTTTCTAAGCACACTTTTAAGATTTTCTCCTGCACCTTGGCTATTCCATTCCCTTTACCTGGAATGTTCTCCCTTATCACCTTTACTTTGGTTCAAATGCAAACTTTTTTCAATATAAATTCTTTTGATTAATCAGGTGGCATGATATTTCTCTTTGAACATTTTAAGTTTTTTTGTCACTTACAAGGCTCTTATCTCAAATTTCCTGGTCCTATGTTCCCTATTAGAAAGCTTCAGATTCAGATCGTTAACTGCCTACGTGACATTCAACACTTACACATCCCACAGATGTTTCAAGTAAATCATGTCAAAAATAAACAGTGACTTACCCCAGGACTGTTCCTTCCCCACAATTTTCCTCATCTTAGAAAAATTGCATTTCCTTCCACCCAGTTGCTTAAGCTAGAAACCTGGAAGTCATCTGTAATTTTCCTCTTCTGTCATCCCCCACATCCAGTTTGTCAAACAGTCTGTCAGTTCTATTTCCAAAGTCTATTTTGACTCCACTCACTTTTGCCACAACTACCTTAGTCCAAACTGCCATTATGTCCTATGGATTATAACTCCTAATGGCAGACCTTGGGTCAATTCTTGTTCCCACAATTGTCTTAACACTGAAGACATTGTGACTTTAGAAAATATAAATCAAATCATGTAATTCCTCTGCTTAAAGCCAATAAATGACTTTTCATTGAACTTAGAGTAAAATCCAAACCCCTTACAGTGCCTACTTTTTGTACTTTTATCTCAGTAACCTTTCATCATTTACCACTTTCTCCTTGCTCACTTGGCTTCCCACTGAAAAATACCAGTCTCTTACTTACCTCAGAGCCTTTACTCATACTGTGCCTTCTCCTGGACATTCTTTACCCATACTGCTCTTCTGTACTGCTGTGTTTCCAGTCTTGGTGTGGCTAGCTATTCTTCATCCATCCTCAGACATGACTTCTTTTTTTCCCCTGCCCTACTATCCTCTGTTTATAATTTCTTTCAATTCACATCATTTCTCACAATTTATAATTATACACCTGGTCAGTTACTTTCACTCATTTAACAAATATTTATTGGGTACCTGTTATGTGCTGTATGATATATACTGTTGAACACAATACGTATAGTCCCTATTTGTCTCCCTTAATAAGTTCCATGAAAGCAAGGGCCATGCCTGTCTTTGCCAACCATTGTATCCTCCTGCTTATCATAGTACCCAGGATATAGTAAATAATCAAAAAATGATTGATAATGAATGAGTTAATGGTGGAAATTGTGTTTTGTTCATATCTCCATCTCGATAATCTAAACTATTCATAGAAGGTATTGGATAGATACAGTATGAGAGAGGTAGATTGCAACCCTGGGCATTAAACTCTAAAAATGAAAGACTGAGACAGTAATTGCTACAAGTTATAGGAGGGGGTCACTGAGTGAATGGCCTAGTGTTTCTCTTTTGCTAATCTTTGATATGAATAATTAGAAAGACTGCCAAAGGAAAATGAGTTTTATTTAACCAGAAACATTCTGAGTAGTATCAAAAGGACACTCCCTAGCATGCAATTCTTAAGTACTGAGCACTACGAAATAAAACTGTGAGAAGACTGTACAGACAAGATCTTGAGAGTAAGAAGTAATAGAGAAAAATTCTTTTTCAAGAGTGTTGATAGTTTATTTCAATTGAAAAAAGAAAGATCTGCCCCCAACCAAAGAACAGAACAAGTATCAAGGAAACGGGTTTCAGGCGCAAGGTATATACTTGTTACGTGGAAAAAATATGCAGCTAGAAGATGACTAGAGAACTTGTGGCACCAGGGAGCAGAAAGATTTGTTTGTCCATGGTTAGTAATTACAAATTATCTAGGCTAACAATTTAAGGCAGAGACTTGGTTCCTAAGAGCAATCTCCAGATACGACATCTTTCAGTAGTACTACATTAATGGAGAAGCATAGGGCTTTGCTCAGGAATGCTGGGTGTAAGCTCAGGCTAAGCCAAGTGTGATTTCACCCCTAGAAATGGCATGCTTCATGACATGGACAGCCGCAAATCATGATTTAGATGGGAACCATACATTCTGAATCAAAAAGAGTACAGGTTAGGATAGTAAACTAAATAACTGAATGAACTCACTGTCAGTTCTAGGTATATGAAAGCTTAGTCATTGATACATGAATAAAAAATTTTTTTGGTATTGAGGATTGAACCCAGGGCTTTGTGCACACTAAACATATGTGCTACCACTGAAATATCCCCAGTCTTATTTTCTAATGGAAAATAAAATCTGCAGAAGAAACTTGTCATTACTCAAAATTTT